ATGAGTCTCGGCCCTGACCCCGGGATGGGGGACTAGAGGACCCTAACAGGATTGGGGGTTGGTTGGGTGTGACCAGGGCATCTGCCAAAGGGAGAGTACCAAGGAAAGCAGAGGCACCTCCTCTCTGGCTGTCCTTCGCCCCCTCTCTCCTCCTCGTTCTCTGGGAGTGTCTGGCGAGCAGAACTCTTGAGCTCAGGCAATCTGCCCGCTTCGACCTCACAAAGTGCTGGGATTACAGTGAACTCAGGTGTTCTGATCCTAAAATCCAGATTTTCCCATTCTGCCTTCTGCTTTGAAAGATATAGAGGAGGCCAAGAGGGCTTATCCCCGAGGTGGAGGAAGATAAGCTGGTATGAGGAAGCCGCTCAGTGTTTGTCATTTTAAACCGTTTATCCACTGGCTCAGGTCATGTCTTTGTTGGGGGCCAAGCCAAGGCCCAGCAAAGACAAATGGCCTTTGCAGTGTGGGTGGAAGAGGGGTGAGGTCACGCAGTCCTCGGCCTGTGGTTTGCTTTGCCTGAGTGCCGGGAGCAATCTCTTGCCCTGATTTGCAGTGTGGGCTGAGGATCCAGGTCAGTGAGAAGGCCAGTGCTAGAACTGTCTGTGGGTGCTGCTGATAGGAATCAGCTGCTGATCGCGGCTAGGGCTGGGGGCTGAGCACACCGGCACCAGCCTACTTCTTGGGCAGCAAGGCAGCAGGATAGAGGGGTTTGTAAAAATGCCTTCCACCTACCCTGCTGGGCTTGCCTGAGAGACTCTGAGTGTGGGAAGCGAAGACAATTATCGCTAGGCTGGAGAACAGAAAGAGCACCGTCAGGTGAGAAAGAGAAGAAAAAAAGAGAGGGGAGAGAGTGGATAAGAAGAAGGAAGCCTGGGACATAAGAGCAAGGGCTTTGCTTGCTAAACTCCTAGGGAGCACACAAGTGAGAATCCAGGGTGGAGGGAAGCAGGATGGGTGCCCTGAATGCTTGGCCCCATTTCCTGGGGCTTACTGGCCTCCTGGGTGGGAGTGTTACAGGCTACTGCTCCTTGAGGAGGCCTCAGTGATTGAGGATGCTCCTGTATGAGTCTCGGCCCTGACCCCGGGATGGGGGACTAGAGGACCCTAACAGGATTGGGGGTTGGTTGGGTGTGACCAAGGCATCTGCCAAAGGGAGAATACCAAGGAAAGCGGAGGCACCTCCTCTCTGGCTGTCCTTCGCCCCCTCTCTCCTCCTCGTTCTCTGGGAGTGTCTGGCGAGCAGCAGCCTCCCCGCAGGGCCAGGCAGGTGGGCCAGAGCATTTGGTTTGCTGAGGTTTGTCAGGTTTTCCAGCTCAGGGCCCAGCCAGCTGGCAGGAAGCAGGACAGAGGTCACTTGAATTCAGACCACATGTCCCTGTTAAATACATTAGCTTTTAAATCAACCTTTGTTCAAAGTCCAGCGAGTTGCAAGCCTAGTGCTCACCTGCAGAGACAGAATTCCTGAGCGAACGAACAGAGCGGCTCCTCTTCCATCTCCAGGTAAGAACTGCTCGTGTCCTTGAGGGCGCTGGCCACTGAGGCCTGAATTACCTTCTTTCTTTTCCTTTTCTCTTTCTCTTTTTCCAAGCCAGTAGCTGGCTGTCTAGGGCAGAGAAGAATCCCATGGGGAGGGAGCCAGGCCCCTTTGGCGGTGGTTGCGGGTGAGGGATGATCCATGCTCTGAGATTCTTTCTGCTGGAGAGGCGCCTCACCCTTGCAGGCTAGGGTCTGCTTCACAAAGAAATTGGCAAGCCGATCTCAGAAAAAGCTTTCCCTGGGTCGTGCGGGGGTTTGACGTGCAGCCAAAGGGAATGAGACAACAGACTTCACAGGTAACCAGGCGGATACGCCCAGGACCTTCCTACTGGTACAGGGGCCTTGGGTAGCAGAGAAGACTCTTCTGGAAGCAGCCCTTAAAGGATGCAGCCTAACTTAGCTTGCCCACTTGATAATAAAAGTGGCATCTTTCCTCTCTGTATCACACTGCAGCACTAAGACATGAGAAAAACCAGTGAATTTCCAGGCTGGCTGAATGTTAAAGCCTACATTCCCCAGGCTCTCACCTTTGGCATTTCTAAGTCTCCAGGTCTTGTGTGAATCGAAAGATCTTTATTTGAAAACTCTCCCAGATCATTCTGATCAGTGCAGGTAGGTTTGGGAACCACTAGTAGTTTATTTCTTAAGCAGAAGAGTCATGAGACTTAAATATGACACTCACCTAAGGGTTCACTCGCTATGAAGACTCCCGGTCTGGGTTGGATCCAGCTATGAAGATTTGGGGGTTGGCTCTGAGAAACACATTCTTCTTTATTTACTAAAATCTCTGCAATGTGTCACCAGGGCAGCTTTCAGTCTTGTACCCAGAAGGCAAGAGGGGATAGCGGGGACTGCCTCAGGCCATGATTGTCCAGTCATCTGAAGTCTGCAGCAAATTACTCAGGGTCTTTGAATTTCTGTGTTACGATAGTAATTTGTGCTTATCTTTGACTTTTGTATGTTCTTTGCACCATAGGGTGTGAAGTTGCTGGTAATGATGTCTTATATTCACAGACCACTGACTAGGCAGCTACTTCTCACCCAGGTGAAAGAACACAGGACTAGAATACAAATCATCAGAGTTTTCATTCAGTTGCTAGTGACAGGCCATTAGACAAACTACTCAGCCAACTGGAGGCTCGATTTCATTATCGATCAAGTGAAGGCCTGTCATTTTTTCCCCAAGAGTGTACTGAAAATAAAATTATAAGTACAAATGTGTGGTCAGGTAATGGCGGCTCATGCCTGTAATCCCAGCACTTTGGGAGGCCCAAGCGGGAGGATCACTTGAGGCCAGGAGTTCCAGACCAGCCTCGGCAATGAAGTGAGACCCCATCTCTACAAAAAATAATAATTAATCCTGCATGGTGGCACATGTCTGTGGTGTCAGCTACTTGGGAGGCTGAAATGGAAGGGTTGCTTGAGCCCAGGAGGTCGAGGCTACAGTGAGCCATGATTGTACCATTGCACTCCAACCTGGGTGACAGAGTGAGACCCTGTCTCAAAAACAAAAAAACCATGAATGTGTTAAAAACACAACTTAAGATGCCTAGATTTCAAATGTGTATGTTGAAAGTCTCTATAGAATAGTAAGAAGAAACAAATTGCAGTCAGTTGGGAAACCTTGTCCTAGTCTTTTAATCTCATTGAGCTTCTGTTTGCTCACTGACAAATAAGAAGTTGAGACCAGATCATCATTAATGTCTTTTTCAGTTGGCCAAGTATAAGGTAGATCCTGGAGCCTTGAAGGGTAGCTCCTTGTCATTTGGGTATGAATTCAAATGTCACCTCCCAGGAAGGACTTTCTAAAACAGCCTCCCATCTCCACGCCACCAGTATCTCTATCATTCATAGCATGTACCATCAGAAATCATCTCATTTTGGCCAGGTGCAGTGGCTCATGTCTGTAATCCCAGCACTTTGGGAGGCCGAGGCAGGTGGATCATCTGAGGTCAGGAGTTCGAGACCAGCCTGGCCAACATGGTGAAACCCCATCTCTACTAAAAATACAAAAATTAGCCGGGCGTGGTGCCGCATGTCTGTAGTCCCAGCTACTTGGGAGGCTGAGGCAGGAGAATTGCTTAAACCTGGGAGGTGGAGGTTGCAGTGAGCCAAGATTGTGCCATTGCACCCCAGCCTGGGTGACAGAGTGAGCCTCCATCTTGAGAAAAAAAAATCATCTCTCTTGTCACCTTTGCCAGATGTTAAGCTTCAAGACTGCAGGGATCTTATCATTTGTGTTACTTGCTGTATTACCAGCCCCTTGAGCACTACCTGGCACAAACACATTTGCATAAATGGAATTGGTGTGGCAGGGAAGGAGCTGGAAAAATAGATGCAGATGGTGATGACTTTGATAAGGTGTTCCTCAGGAAAGGAGGTTGAAGGACTCCAATACTCTCTCAGGGCGTCTGAAGTCCAGGGTCTAATCATGTGGGAATGGGTTTTTCTGGTCACATCTTAGTGAAATGATTCTTGCATTCGTTGCACAGGGATGCGATGAGAGTGGCAAGCTGGAGCTAGACGTGTTTTCCTCAAGATCTCAGCAACTTCTTTCTTTGGTCCTTCATGAAGGACTGCCCAGATTTCCTTAATCTCTTTGCCTGATGGGTATCATGGCTAAGTGATTAAGAAAATGAGCATGGGGATTGGAAACCTGCACTCCAGATCAGACTGGCTTTTACTCTCTAAGCTTCTATTTCCTCATCAGTCAAATAGGCATATTAGAATCTAGTTCCAGAAGTTACGAGGGTTAAATGAATGCACATAGTGCCTAGCACATTGTAAGTGCTATTGAGATAATCTTCAGACAGCTTTGCTATTACATGACCCCCGGAAATGAAGGAACCCAGGGAATGGCAGGAGTTTTAATAAGTAGAAAAGATAGCCCTAGCCCACTTAGCGGCAACTAGAGGAGGTTTGCTGTTGGTCTGAGGTGGTCACTGGTTTCTGAGTTGCCAAGCCTTGTTGGAGGCACAGATAGTCGGCATTCATAAAGCTGCATAGAACTACGGGGTCCCACTGGGGACTTGAAACTAAATGATCCAGAAAAGCCTGTGGCTTTCCACCAGTTGTATTGAATACAAACTTGATGGTGTGAAAATACAGAAAGGGGCTGCGGTGCCTGCTCTTAAGAAAGCTTATCTTGGCTGGGCACGATGGCTCACGCCTGTAATCCCAGCACTTTGGGAGGCTGAGGAGGGTGGATCCCTTGAGGTCAGGAGTTTGAGACCAGCCTGGCCAACATGGCAAAACCCTGTCTTTACTAAAAATACAAAAAGTAGCCGGGTGTGGTGGCGGGCACCTGCAATCCCAGCTTCTCAGGAGGCTGAGGCATGAGAATTGCTTGAATCCAGGAGGCGGAGGTTGCAGTGAGCCGAGATCGCACCACTGCACTCTAGCCTGGGCCACAAGAGCGAGATTCCGTTCCCCCACCACACACACACACACACACACACACACACAGAGCTTATCTTGCTGGGGACACACGACATGGACACTGAAGCTCCTCTATAGTCTACTGGATTGAGTCCGAGGTGCTTCACAGTCTAACCTACTTCTTTTTTTCAACATGTAACTGTGCTCTGACCTTCCTGAACCATTCGCCATTCTGGGAATGCATCTCGTGCTGTTCCTTCTGCCTGGGATGGCTTCCTCTTCCCAGTCTGACCACACGTATTTCCAGAATACATTCTACACATCAGGCTTGGGAGGCAGGATAGATGGTGGAAGGAATCCAGACTCAACTGGGTTTGAATCCAGACTCTGCTTATCCAAATAGCCAGGGAAAACCACGTTAACTTTTCAGAGTCTCTTTTCTTTTTCCTTGTAAAATGGCCCATCAGGATTGAATCAGAACCCACAAAAAGTACCTAGGCTAATCCTAGTAGGAGCTCAATAAATACATAAAACAATAAGAAAGGCTTTGTGTTTAAATATTCCAGCACCCACACCGTTGCTCAGCAGTTATGCTTCATAGCTCTCCCCACTGGACTCCGGGCTCTTTCAGGGCAGGATGGTAGCTATTCTGGATTGAACCCTGATACCTGCCTCGCAGCAGGTATTACATAGAACTTGTTAAGTATATGAGCAATAACTGAAATTCAGAAGATGAAATGATACCTTCAGACTGTGGTGGTCATGGAAGGGTTCGTATATAATCTAAAATTTGAACTGAGCCTTGAAAATGGTAGGTCTTAAATTTGTTCACTTGGAAAAAATGTTTACTTAGCACTTACTGTGAATAAGTAGTCAGAAGTGGGGAAGGGATTCCAGGCAGAGCATGGGGCATGAGCAAAGGGCAGGCTCGTGTGGGTGACCGTGCATAGACCATTTGGGGCTTGCCGAGGAGCTGGGGGCCTGAGGTAGGGCTGGATTATGCTGAGCCTCAGTGCCTGAGCAAGAAGCTTGAATTTCTTTTTCTTGAGTGATTTTTTTTTTTTTTTTTAGAATATAGTATCATAAAACCAGGGTCAGAAAGTTTGTCTTGAGGCGGGACTCTTGTAGTAGTTTAGATATATCAAAAAAAAGTGAGGGGGGTAGAAATGCAAGTTCAAAAAGTCATGTAACACAAAATGTCGATTTGGGGAAAACCCTTGTCTCAGCTGACCCTCAGGATGGTTGAGCTATTTTCAGGTACTAGTTCTATCAGCAGCGTGAGGATGTCCTCTCTCTGTGGGTGCCTCTGTTTCCACACAATATTGGCTCCATCCCTCTCCCAACTCATAGAACTCTTAGATAAGCAATCCAACTGCGAAATCCTTGAACTCCAGCCCAGAGTCTTGCCATATAGGACAAAGTATTGTTTATGGTGGCTGGGGGTAGGGAAGTCACTTGGTATCAGCAGGCCAAATGAACTTTGAGATAAGTAGATTCCATTCTTGATCATAAATGAGAAATAAAAACTACTCAGTGGGTCTGTGATCACTCTTCTCCAGATAATTCTCAGTGGAATAGATTTCATT